TCGGTCACTAGTCAGTGCGTCGAGTTTAATCAAAATGTTTTGTCCCTTCGGACCTTCCATTTTTGCAATGTCTTTAAACATCTTATTCACATCATGAAAGAATAATATTACCGGACTTGTCCAAATAGGGCCAAATTAAAATCTAGCATTTCCCCAAAATTAAGACCTACATACTAATTAAAATGCTATAAATATACCTTTTAATTTGTGATTGGACGAAAATACCCTACCACAATATACCTTTTAATTTCCCCAAAATTAGAATTCTACTCTCTTTTCACCAATGTATTTTACAACGTCGAAACCTAATCTAATCTAATTTGATATGATCTATCCCCTAACTTTGTCCCGTTTAACCTTTTTCGTCCGTCCCATTAAGTTTGTCCCACATCATATTTGGTAATATTTGGGTGGCTACAATTCATTCTTATTTTATTCAAACTTTATCAATTTAATATCAACCACACATTTCTAATTTTTCTTAAAAATCCCACCACACCCCTTTGTCCCAAACATAAGGGGATATATGATATTGAATTGAAATTAGTCCATACAAAAACATGGAGGTCAAATAATCAAATTTGGGTGACACCAAATCAACCATATATAGGAAGCATTAAGAGAGGACTTCAACTCATCTCTGTTGGGTAAAACAACAATACTTGGATAACTTTATTTGACTCTAGACTTTTATAGTTAATTAATAGATAATTTCCACTTTTCTTACAATATTACTAGCTAGTACTAAAAAATCATTGTGATTTTTCCTTGATTATTAACAGAGTAAAATATTTAAAATAATAATACAATATGATTAAAGTTATTTTGAGTATACTTTCACGGTCAATACAGTATAAAGCTCAAAAGAGCAAAAGTATAAAAAACATCATATTTTATCTCTTACTTTTATCTTAGTCATGTAACTAGTGTAAAGCCCTAGGCATGCCCCTGCAACACATCTATTTGATATGTGTTAAAATGAAAAATATTAAAAGATACTGTGAATTATATATAAGATTCAAATTTAAATATAATGTTTTTTTTTTATTTTGAACTAACCACAATCAATTATAAATTTATATTTGTTAAATGATTATTAAATTATTCACCTATCATATTCAGAGTATTATATATTTAGAGTTCTTTTGGTAATTTCTATTTTCAGCTTAATTATCAGCCTTGTCAACCAATTATTTAATCAAACATGTAGTTTTTGACATCACGTGTTGAATTGTGCAATAATTAAAATAAGTCAGGTTAAAGTTACTTTTTGGCTAAATTGACTGAATTTACTTCACGTAGTTTTCATGTTATTTTTCTTAATTTGATTAATAGAATATATTTTAAATGTAAATTTTCCACAATTCAATGTATTCAATCAATTCAGCTATTTCAGCCAAAATTTCGAAAACTTTAGCAGACTGAGCAAAAGTATAAAAAACATCATATTTTATCTCTTACTTTTATCTTAGTCATGTAATTGTAATCAAGACGTCACCACAAAAGTATATCGTGCTGAGCCGGCATCAAAGAATTGGAAAACAATTACATATCCTAATAATTAAAAAATCAAATTTGGAGTGTGTCAGAATCTATAGCATGACTCCTTCAACTAGGCCCTTATTTATAAACATGCGAAAAAACGGGTTAAAATCGTGCTTTTTCTAAATTTTCTGCTAATTAATATGGGCAAGCCCGACCCACAAGAAACTAGCCTAACCATATGCCCATACCCGGTTGCATGAGTGGGCTGTGTAGTCTACCGGGCCGCCTAGCTCGGAAAACTTTAATTTTTTCAAAATTATATAAACACTTCTTAACATTTTAGTTGTTAATATATCTATAATGGTTTTAAGCCTCTCAGGCTCTCACCATATACAAAAAACATTCAAACAAAAATAATCATGAAGATTAAACTATATATAACAAATATTTAAAAGTCAAGCACAAACTCCACAAAGTATTATCTTTAACGACTTTAAGTATAAAAATAGATACTCCATATGACCATATTATATTGGTTGTGCTTGTTGTTAAAAAATAAAAAATTAAATTTAAACATAATCTAAACATGATTTGGAGAAAAAACCAGATGCTAACGAGTTGGAGGAAGAGTACTCTTATCCCCTTATTCAAGAATAAAGATGATGTACAAGAATGTGCCAACTATCGAGGGATTAAGCTGATGAGTCACACCATGAAACTTTGGGAGCAAGTGATTGAGCAAAGACTTTGAAGAACTGTGAAGGTTTCAGAGAATCAATTCAGTTTTATGCCTGGTCGCTCAACAACCGAGGCCATTCACCTTCTTTGGCAGCTTATGGAGAAGTATAGAGACGCTCACAAGGATCTGCATTTGGTGTTCATTGACTTAGAAAAGGCTTATGATAGGGTACCTCGAGAAGTTCTTTGGTGGGCCTTAACTAGAAAAGGCATATCACGCAAGTATATCAGCATCATCATGGATATGTATGAGGATTGTACTACAAGTGTTCGTACTAATGTAGGGAGGATTGCAGAGTTCCCTATTACTATCGGAGTGCACCAAGGATCGGCTCTGAGCCCTTTCTTATTTGCCATAGTCATGGATGAACTTACAAAGTCAATTCAAGACGAAATAACGTGGTGCATGATGTTTGCCGACGATATTATTGATTGATGAGACGCAATCAGGTCTTAAAACAAAGTTGGAAGTATGGCGACAAACATTGAAGAACAAGGGTTTCAGACTAAGTCGGAGCAAGACAGAGTACATGGAGTGTGAGTTTGGTGGAGGTAGAAGCAGTACGTGGTAATAATGGAATTACTCTAGATGGTAAGGAGATACCGGTCAGTGATATGTTCCGTTACTTGGGCTCCATAATTCAGAAGGACGGTGAACTAGATGGAGATGTATCCCATAGAATCAGAACATGGTGGATGAAGTGGAAGAGTGCGTCAGGATTTCTATGTGATAGAGCTATGCCGACGGGATTGAAGGGTAAATTTTATAGGACAACAATTAGGCCTGCATTGCTGTATGGCGTAGAGTGTTGGGCGGTGAAACAATGTCACATTCAAAAGATGAGTGTGACAGAGATGTGCATGCTGCGTTGGATGTATGAACATACTAGGAAGGACCACGTGAGAAATGAGACAATCAGACAAAGGGTGGGAGTAGCACCTATTGAAGACAAGATGCGGGAGCCTCGCCTACGGTGGTTTGGTCATGTGCGTAGAAGACCGAGTGATGCACCTGTCAGACGTGTTGAGATGTGTGGAGAAGAGGTGGGGAAGAGAGGGAGAGGAAGACCCAAACCGACGTGGGTTAGGGGAGTCCGAAGTGATATGCTTCTTCTTGGGTTGGATGAGGGTATGACTTTGGAGAGAGCAAAGTGGAGGGCGGATATTCGTGTAGAAGAGTGATCTCGAATTATTATTTCCTCTCTTCTTTTTTCTTCTTGTTTTTTTGTTCTTTTATGCTTATATATATAAACATTATTTTTATCCTTTTTATTTTATCATTTTTAGGCATATTCATCTCGTTTTATATTATCTTTTTTATGATAGCTTTTTTTTCTTTATTTTCTTTCTTTTCCTTTTGGTGGTGATATCATGTATCGATTCATGTTAGCCGACCCCAATATCTTTTGGGACTAAGGCTTGAATGTTGTTGTTGTTATAAACGTAATGAACCATATATATTTTATACAGATAAAATAGTTAATGTAAATACACATGTGTAAATAAATAATGAGAATATTACCCGAAATAGGACTAAAATGGTTTGAAAATTCTAAAATAGGACTGCCATGTTTTTATTCCCAAAATAGGACTAATTACTGTCATGTTTTGACAGTACCAGACTTCAAACATGACAGTATTTTCCAAATTAAACTTGGTAGTAATTACTCCTATTTTGGAAATTAAAAACATGGCAGTCCTATTTTGGAATTTTCAAACTGTTTTAGTCATATATATATATATATATATAGAGAGAGAGAGAGAGAGAGAGAGAGAGAGAGTAATCTTCCAATCAGGCCTTCCTGACCGGAACCGCCGTCCGGACGTCGGCTTTTGGGCCCTTTCTGAAGGAATTTTTTGATGAAATTTTTACGACATGTTCTTCATCACGTTTAGTTTATCCAAAAAACATTTCAACTAAAAATTCAATCAGGAAAGTAGCTAAATGATTTTTGGAAGATAACCGTGCCCAAAATATACACTCATTTTTCAAGTCCAAGTTCACTCATTTGTGCGATGAGGCGGGCGGGTTGACCTTTTTTTGTGCAAGTCTACTTGTTTGTCATTATTTCAAAATAGTTAATGAAAATGTGATTACAACATGATTACCAAAAGCTCCACAAGTAAAAAGGATAATCAACTAATAGCCAATCAAAACTTTCAAGGTCATTTGTAAAAAAAGTTGCTTAGCAAAAATATATAGGTACTGTGCTTTTAAGAATATCATATATGTACTCCATAAAACTAGAAATTACAGTAATTATTAGTCATTGGGATCCCTTAAACATTTACTGGATTAAATGAGTTCAATTCATACCAGACTTAAATCAATCAGACTAGACTAGATGAGACTGCAATTAAAAACATGGGTAGAGCCTTCAAATATTCAAGATATAAATCGGCAGAAATCTTAAACTAAATAACGGATTGAAAATTACTCTCTTGGACTAAATTAGTAGGAAGAACTTTGTTTGGTCTTGCTCCGGCCAAAAATCCGGTCCAATCAATTCTACAGTGGAGGCTAAAATCTGAACAACGATAGATGCTGAGAATATTTGAAAGGCTCAAACATTATTGCCAACTCAAATGGAAGATTTCAACTTTTAAAGTTCATTTAATTAATACTACTCCGTATATAATTAAAGCAGCTAGATTGGAAAAGTCTCCCCTACTCCGACATTTTTCCGTGCCTTTGACTCTTGAAGAGTTGTTCCGGCTTTCCTCACATGCATATAAAACCATACCTTATCTTCAACCTCTTTTCAAAATAAACTATCCCAATATATTCATAATCTTACAAATTCAACTTCTCCATTTCGTTCAATTTTTCTCCACTTATCAACAGTATACGTCCATATATTCGTTCACTTTCTGACTGAAATTTGTGCATATATATCTACTCCTCAAGGGTTTTAATTATTGACTAATTATTCATTCATTATTGTGATGGAAGATGTTGAAGTTCCACCCTATTTTCTATGCCCCATATCTCTTGAGATAATGAAGGACCCGGTGACGATCTCCACCGGCATAACCTACGACCGGCAGAACATCGAGCATTGGATATTTTCCGTCAAGAAAATCTCATGTCCGGTCACCCAACAACCCCTCTCCGACAACGAGTTGATCCCAAACGTCACACTCCGGCGAGTCATCCAGTCGTGGTGCACCCTCCACGCCGCCCACGGAGTCGAGCGGTTCCCGACTCCGAGGCCGCCGGTGAGTAACTCACATATCTCAAAGCTCCTCCGGGAAGCCTATTCTTCGCCGGAAACGAGAGTCAAATGTCTTCAAGACCTAAAGTCCATTGCTTCACAAAATGAGGCGAATAAACGTGGCATGGAGAACGCCGGCGTGCCGGAGTTCTTGGCCTCAATCATAAACTCCGGCGAGGATCTCAGTCAAACCGAAGATGCCCTTTGTTTGATCAACAACCTAGGATTATCCGAAACAAGTCTGAGGATGATCCTAGGACGTGACACAGTGTTCATTAACGCATTAGTTTCTGCCATGCAACGTGGGACCTACGAAACCCGGTTTTACGCGGTCAACCTTCTTAAGTCAATGCTAGCTTTCGCCGAGCCATTCCAGCTCACGAGCTTAGACGCCCGTTTTTTCCGGGAGCTAGTCCTCGTCTTGAGGGAAAACTTTTCCCAGAAGGCCTCGAAATGCGTGCTGCAGATCTTGACGGCCGTCTGCCACAAAGGGCGGAACCGAATCAGGGCGGCCGAGGCCGGCGCAGCGGCGGTGCTGATCGACCTCCTGCTGGACTCGACCGACAAGAGGTGCTGCGAGTCCAGCCTGGTCATACTTGAGCAGCTCTGCCAATGCGCCGAAGGGCGGGCAGAGCTACTCAAGCACGCAGCCGGGCTGGCCGTCGTGTCCAAGAAAGTCTTGCGGGTTTCGCAGCTGGCGAGTGAGAAGAGCGTGAGGATACTGTATTCTGTGTCTCGGTTTTCGGGCAGCCCTGGAGTGGTTCAAGAGATGTTGCAGCTGGGAGTGGCTGCAAAGCTATGCATGGTTTTGCAGATTGATTGTGGGAGCAAGATTAAGGAGAGAGCTGCTGAGATCCTAAAAATGCATGCTAAGGAATGGAAGAACACTCAGCAGTGTGTTCCCTTGCTGGCTTTGATTTACCCTACCCAATCCCATGGTAGATAATTAGACAGAAGTAATTTAAACCATGGGTAAATGGCTATGATTTATCGAGCAAAAGTAATATGGGAATTTTATGCAGCATTATTTCTTTTTAACGGATTTTTTAGCATTTCTTTTTGAAAGAAAATGCATAAAATAATGCTTATCATGCATGTTTTGACTTAGCCTTGCATCAATGCATGCACAATTGTCGCCTGTCGTGATTTAATTGATAAAGGGAAAGTTCCTGAAATAGGATTAAAACAGTTTGGAAATTCCAAAATAGGACTGTCATATTTTTTATTCCTAAAATAGGAGTAATTACTGCCAAGTTTGGAAAATACTGCCATGTTTGAAGTCTGGTACTGCCAAATCATTACAGTAATTAGTCTTACTTTGGGAATAAAAACATGACAGTCCTACTTTGGAATTTTCAAACCTTTGTAGTCCTATTTCGGTTAATATCTCATACTTCAATTATTTAACACGGTGTCAATTTTTTATTATTTAATATTAGATTGGGCCTTGCTAATTTTTCATTTATTTGTAAATATGGGCTAAGGGCTCACTTAATTGTCTAGCTAATGTATATATAGAGAGGTACTCGGTATTGTATAGGGCAGATTTGCTTTCCAACTAATGAAATATATTCTCTTCCTAAATCTAAGATGGTATCAGAGCAGGCTATTTGAAGCTTTGTTTTTAATCAACACAGTTGACGAGAGAAGGGTCACTCTCCCTAGCTATTCATGTGTTCGTATTTTTTATTCACGTTGATATAAGGACGGGTGTGGCTTCATCATTTTCTCTGCAGAACTGCACCAGCGTGCGAAGGAAGCAGAGTATCAACATGGCCGACCCTACCTCTTTCTATTACTTGGGACCCGGTGATCAACCCGGTGACCAAATTACTCATGTAATTTTTAATGCTGAAACCCGTTCATCTGATCGCATGGCGGGTAAGTTTGATTGGATTATTGACACAGGGGCATCTCATCATGTCACAGGTGATATTACGAGTTTGACTGACAGGACTCGTGTTTGCGCACGTCTGGTAGGACCGCCGGATGGGCGAACGGTTGAGGCTGTATTAGAAGGCCGTGTTTATTTTTCTGACCAATTTATTTTGGAACATGTTCTTTATGTGCCCGGATTAAAATGTCATTTAATCTCGGTATCTCAATTGATTGATCAGTCTGCGTGTTTAGTTACTTTCACTGATTCGTTTTGTGCTATACAGGACTGTCTCTCGAGGAGTCTGATTGGAGCCGGTGAGAGACGAGATGGGCTTTACTATTTCAGAAAGGTACCCGTGTTGCATACTGTTCACACGTCCGATTTACCTTCATTCGAGTTATGGCACCGGCGCTTGGGGCACCCGTCTGATCGCGTGATTAAATTGTTGCCTGCTATTAGTACTAGCTCTTCTGCCAAACGTTTGAATAAGCCTTGTGAGGTGTGTCCACAAGCCAAACAAGTGCGTGATTCTTTTCCTACAAGTAGCAATAAAACAAGTAGAATTTTGGAACTTATTCATTGTGATTTATGGGGTCCCTATAAAACCCCATCTACTTGTGATGCAATATATTTTATGACATTGGTTGATGATTTTTCTCGGGCCGTGTGGGTTTATCTGCTACGTGACAAGAAGGAAGTATATCGATTTTTCCTTTCTTTTATTGCCACAGTTGAAAAACAGTTTGAAGTTCCTGTTAAAATTGTACGAAGTGATAATGGCACGGAATTTAAATGTTTATTGCCATACTTTGAGGAACGTGGAATTATATTTCAGACATCTTGCATTCACACCCCTCAACAAAATGGGCGGGTGGAGCGTAAGCATCGCCATATTTTGAACGTGGCTCGGGCACTGATGTTTCAGGCAAACGTTCCTATTTTACTCTGGGGTGAGTGCGTGCTTACGGCGGTGCATCTTATTAATCGCACGCCCTCGGGATTGCTGGACGGAAGAACCCCCTACGAGGTCCTTACCGGCAAGACACCTGATTTTCACCATCTCCGGGTGTTTGGGTGTTTAGCCTTTGCTCATAATGTAAAGACGGGTGGTGATAAATTTCTTCCTCGTAGCAGGAAATGTGTTTTTATTGGATATCCGAATGGCAAGAAAGGGTGGAAAATGTTTCACTGTGACACCGAAGATATTTTTGTGTCGCGTGATGTCCAGTTTCATGAAGATGTGTTTCCATTCTCGGAGGTTACTCCGGCCTCTACTTCAAACACTGCTCCTGCTGAACCCATTATTTTTGATTCAGACGACGTCGTCCCCGTGAACTCTGAAGTTCAGGTACCTCCTGACACGGGGTCTACATCAGCCGATACTACTTCTGACGGCATCACTCTTGGCAGAGGCATGCGGTCTAAGCGACCGTCAGTTTTACTTCGCGATTATGTTGCTCATTTAAGCCCATCTCCGTCTTCGCCCTCCGACAGCTCTTCAGGTACGCGGTATCCTATTAGTCACTACGTTTCTTGTGATAAGTATTCTACACGTCACCGCATGTTTCTTGGAGCAATTCTTGCAGGTCAGGAACCTCGTTCCTTCAGGGAAGCCATGACTGATGATGGATGGCGTGCTGCCATGCAAAATGAGATTCAAGCCCTCGAACATAATCACACTTGGGACATGGTGCCTCTTCCCCACAATAAAAAGGCCCTGGGTTGCAAATGGGTCTATAAAATTAAATATAAATCTGACGGTACAGTTGAACGGTTGAAGGCCCGTTTGGTTGTTTTTGGGAATCATCAGGAGGCGGGTATTGATTATAATGAAACGTTTGCTCCTGTAGCCAAAATGGTCACGGTACGCCTACTCTTAGCTGTTGCTGCTGCTCGCAACTGGGAGTTACATCAAATGGATGTACATAATGCCTTTCTTCATGGTGACCTGGCTGAAGAAGTCTATATGCGCCCTCCTCCGGGTTTCTCTTCATCTCGGCCTGGGCTGGTGTGTCGCCTGCGCAAGTCGCTATATGGCCTCCGCCAGGCTCCGCGGTGTTGGTTCGCTAAGCTGGCCACTGCGCTTAAACAGTATGGTTTCCTACAATCTTATTCTGATTATTCTTTATTCACTTTGCACAAGGATGACGTACAGATGCACGTGCTTATATACGTGGATGACATGATTATTGCGGGCAATAATTCCACCGCTTTGTCACGTTTTAAAAATTATTTGCACTCTTGCTTCCACATGAAAGATCTTGGGGTTCTGAAATACTTCCTTGGCATTGAGGTTGCGCGAAGCACTGATGGAATTTTTCTTTGCCAACGCAAATATATTCTGGATATTATTTCTGAGGCAGGTCTTCTTGGAGCTAAGCCATCCTCTTTTCCCATGGAACAAAATCATTCCTTGGGCCTTGCTACGGGCGAACTATTAGCTGATCCAGAATCCTATCGACGCCTTGTTGGTCGTCTAATTTATCTATCGTTTACTCGACCAGATTTGGCTTATTCTGTACATAGTTTATCCCAGTTTATGCAGGCCCCGCGACGAGAACACTGGAGTGCAGCCCTTCGCGTCGTCAGATATCTCAAAGGCTCTCCCGGACAAGGAATTCTCTTGAGCTCTTCTTCTACTTTGACTCTTACAGCCTGGTGTGATTCGGATTGGGCTAGTTGTCCACTTACTAGACGTTCTCTGACCGGATGGCTAGTTTTTCTTGGAGGATCTCCGGTCTCCTGGAAGACCAAGAAACAGCATACGGTGTCTCGATCTTCCACTGAAGCTGAATATCGTTCCATGGCGGCTGTCACAGCAGAATTGAAGTGGGTGAAGAGACTTCTTCTTACCTTCGGCATTGCTCACCCGCAGCCTATTTCCTTACATTGTGACAATCGCTCTGCCCTTCATATTGCTCATAATCCTGTTTTTCATGAACGTACCAAGCACATTGAAGTGGACTGTCATTATGTTCGTGATGCACTGCAAGAGGGGCTGATCTCCGCACAACATGTTTCTACCACCGAACAGCTAGCGGATATCTTTACAAAGGCTCTGGGCCAACGACAATTTAGTCATTTACTGCGCAAGTTGGGCATGTTTGATCCCCATGCTCCAACTTGAGGGGGGTATTAGATTGGGCCTTGCTAATTTTTCATTTATTTGTAAATATGGGCTAAGGGCTCACTTAATTGTCTAGCTAATGTATATATAGAGAGGTACTCGGTATTGTATAGGGCAGATTTGCTTTCCAACTAATGAAATATATTCTCTTCCTAAATCTAAGATTTAAATATTCGGTTATGTCCTATTCATTTGGGTAGCAAATCACATGTAAAAAGTCTGCACTGCTGACCTTATCTAATATTCGTATAAGGTAATTAAATAATGTTATCCTTTGTTTTATAAGCTAAGCTAGCTAGCTTATGTTCAACCTCGAGGTGAAATGCCAAAGTTTGAACTACTCTAATATACGTACAGCTTGTGCAATTAATTACTCAGATAAATACTTTTTCGTCCTTATAACTTTATGAAGTCTTCTCCAATTTTTTTTATGAAGTTTGACCTATGTGGATAATAGTAAAATAAAAGTTGTGTAATAAAGATTTATACAGATGGGAGAAAAATAATTAACAGGAGTAAAAGATACTCTCTACATCCTTCTTTACTTCAATTCCCCAAATTTGATTTTTAAATTTCCACTTTGACTGATTATATATATACACACGAGTATTGATAATATGAAAATGATATAAAAATTTTATTTGTCAAAAATACTACTCCCTCCGTCCCTCTTTTATCTCCCCCTTTAACCCGGCACGAATATTAAGATAGTGAATTTTGTGGGGTGGAGAGTTATGAAGAGAAGAGAGAAATGTGTAAGAATTGTTGTAAATCACAAATTCTTTGCCAAAAAGGGAAAAAGAAAATAATTTCGGGATTAACCAAAAAGGAAAGTTTTGAAGATAATAAAGGACGGGGGAGTATTAAAGTATAAAATTTATAAATTTTACATAAAAATATTTGTTAAAACAATTGGTCAAAATTATCATCTTTGATTGAAAAAGTCAATGATGACTAATATAAAGGGATGAAGGTAGTAATTATTATTTTTTCTCGAAGAGGGCTTCATTCATAAAAATAGAATTCAGCAGGGGCACAAGATAATAAAAGAACGACATGTAACCACGTGTAAAAAAGCAGTATAACTCGCTAGACCTGAATTGGGCAACTTAAAGCCAATGATGATTACCGCAAACCTCTCATCCCCCAAACCTAATGCAAGAGTCTTACAACATAAAATTAAACACGCAAACATCTTAACCTGGAAATTAAAATGCAGAAAAAAAAAATAATCAAACTCCAAACCGCGACGATCAACCCTTGGCGGTGGTTCTGGAGGAGGCCGGACTCTTGCATTGGCAGATGTTGCACCAAAGCGGCTCACCTCCAACTCGAACCCCCCTTCGTCAGCATCAACAATCGCCAATTTGTCCGTATCTTGCATTGCTCGGCTCTCCTTATCTGCGTGAAATTGTCCTCCAATCCCCTGCTTACCGACTCCAGTCATCTCCGTCTGCAGTCGACCTCCTTTGATCATCTTTACCGCACCAGTATCGCCGATCTTCGAAAGATTCGAAATCGGAAAACGAAACTCTAGCGGCCACCGCCCTAAAGAGCTCCGAAGCTTTAGAGAGATAAACTCTCACCTCCGTTTGATTATGTGTTATACTTGATTGAAGGTAGTAATTAATTAAAAAGGGAAATTGTAAAGATTTTCAGAAAACTAAAAAAGTGACAAAATCATAGGACATAATATATATGTTTGTGTTCGAGTCAACTAATAGCGAAAGGGGTTGTTTTGGTATATTCAATTGACTTTAGCAGAATTAATTTTAGCGTTTGAAGACAAATTGTTGATTGGCTTTTGATGTCAAACACCAAATAGTCTGAAAGCCGCCCTTTTCAAAATTGAGGCTTTCACATTTAAACCAGAATTAATTCCACTTTTGGTCCTGTGAATTTTGTGTCAATTCCACATTTAGTTCACGTCTTTCACTTTGACCACTTTTGGTACTTGTCTAATGTTTTTTTTAACCTTTTGTGGTTCTTTTCCGGCGATTTTAACCATGGGAAACAATGCCGGAAGGACCATATATCGACGAAAACACCGTAGTCATGTATCAAAAGTGGACAAAGTGAAAGATGTAGACTAAATGTGGAATTGACCCAAAACTCGTAGGACCAAAAGTGGAATTTATTCTTTAAACCATCAAGAAACTAGCTATACATCATTATTAACCTCTTCATTAATCCCAAATCCCTAAGTAAAATTACTCATGATTCATTGTTGAAGAATCAACAGAATTAGGAAAGATAGAATTAATTGTCATTAATCAAAAGATTGAACTTACAAAGAATCCCCAAATCTTGGTGATAACTCTGTATTTTGACATGTATTTGATGCGTGTTGTTATCGACTTTTGATGGTTTTCCTAGCTTTAAGGTGTTGCAAGTCTCAATTTTAGTTCAAGTTATGTTTATCAGGCGTTGGTTCGAGTTTTGTGTCATTTGGAGTCAAAATCAGGAATTTAGAGTTCGGCACCGACGCTTAAGGAGCAATCAGGATGATTCGAGATGCATTCGAGAGTGGACTGAGATCTTTGGAGGTCACCGGGAGGTTCACGAAGAAGATTTGATGACAAAAGAGCTCTGGGATTGGCTATGGGATCAAAAGAAGATGAATGAAGCTGGAAAATGACGATCAGGATGACCTTCTGTCAATCGTTCAAGCATATCTCTTTGTAAAAACATCCAAAGGACACGATTCAAGTTCCATATGAAAGCCAACTTCAAGGGCTACAAATCATATGAAGACACCATTTCGAGATTATGAGAGGAAAAAGGTGAAAATGGACGATGAAGTCAGATGATCCCTATTGCGATTTTAGAATGCGACTTTCCACCATTTAAATTAATTTCATGTAATTAAGCATGATCTGCCAGAAATCTGGTTACCCAGGAATCAATCCATGTTCTCTTCGTCGTTAATTAGAGAGAAAACCAATCTTTTCAATTCATTCGCATTAGTTTAACTTACTTACCAATCATATCTCGCACGACACTTATTTTTATTTATTTTTAATCGTTGGATTTAATTAGTTCTTGATTCCCTTTTGTCCGTCCCTGTGGAGACGATACTCGTACTTTCAACCATTTTTCCACAAACCTTTTAAGTGCGAGAAAACTCACATCACTTGGCAATCCAAGGCCTGATAAGCTCTCAAATATTGACCTAGGGCTTATCTCTCTAAGCTTCCGTTTTGAAAATAGGGATTTACAGGTTGTTTAAATGGAAAAAACGGAGCAATTCTGACCGAAAAAGGACACTCGGAGCACACGCACGGCACCCACGCACGGTGTGCGTGTCCCAGTGCGCCCGGAGCAAAAAAGTGCATAAATGGCGTGCGTCCCTCGAACGCACGGCCTGCGTGGCCTCCGGTAGCTCCTCCGTAATTTTCTTCTTTCACGCACGACGCACGTCTTTACCGTCCGAATTTAACTATGGTGCCTTCACCAAAGTTGTAGCTAATGAAGTCTTCTATCCAATCCAACTTGCAAAACTGCATTTGGATCATCCAATCAAAAGATATGAATAAAATGGTGGAAGGTCACATCCTGAAATCTCAACAACGATTATCTGACTTCCTCATCTGTTTTCACCTTGCTCCTCTCAGATTCTCGTCATGGTGTATTCATATGATTTGTATCCCTTGAAGTTATATTTCATATGAAAGTTGAATAGTGTACTTTGGATGTTTCTACAAAATGATATGCTTGAATGATTGACAGAACATTATCCTGATCACCGTTTTCAAGCTCGATCTATTCGTCTTCTTTTGATCATATAGCCAATTCTAAAGCTCTTTTGTCTATACAACTTCATCTTTAAAACCTCTTTGACCTCAAGTGCTCCAAATCAACTCTCAAATGTGTCTCAACACAGTGTTAATTAGCTCAGGTCACGGTTTATCGGGTTTGGTTGGCATTTGTTGAGAAAAGTAGGAATTCGGACCCGGCATCGGCGTTAGAGTCTAATTTGAGAAGATTTGGGACGCGTTCGAGATCAGAGATGGAAAGAAGCCTCGGAGGTCAATGGGATGATTCAAAGGTTGTAGGTAGATATGATCGATCGGGAGCAAATGGGGAAGAAAGGAGCAAGAAAACGCTTCAAAAGACATCCGCGCGCCCCGCACATCATATCATTCCCGCATGCCCCGCGAATGATTCAGAGAGCAGGAAGTTAAGAAGTTTAAACCGCACTCCCCGCAGATGAACCGCATGCCCCGCGATCCAGAAACAGGCCTCAGAAGTGCCCGCACGGTCGGACCATGCAGAACCTGCACGCCGTGCGGGCGGAGAAGATACAAGACAAGGTTTTAATTTTCGTGCGACCTCACGGTGAACCGTACGTCGTGCGGACGATGATGTCTGTTTTCTCGCACTTAAAAATATTGTAATATAGTGGTGTAAGTACGAGTATCGTCTCCACAGGGACGGACAAAAGGGAATTAAGAATTAACTAAATTCAGCGATTAAAAATAAATAAATAAAAAATGCGTCGTGCGAGATATGATTGGGTTGGAAAATTAAACTAATGCGAATGAGCAATTAAAATAAAAGATTGGTTTCTTCGTAATTAATGACGAAGGGAACAGGGATTGATTCCGGGGTAACCATATTTCTGGCAGAACAGGCCTAAATACATGAAATTGATTTAATTGAGCCTAGCTAATCATTACTAAGTTCTTACCGCTCTCGCGGCGTAGAGTACAATAATTTAGGGGACCAGGCTGATCTCTCATGCGACAGGATTCTAAATTATTGCCAAAACGAGCGAGCTTACGGCCCCTTAATCGTTACTAATCTCTTAGCGAATGATTAAGTGTGTGTGAATGTGTCCTAGAATAAACTAGATCTCTCTTAATTTATTCTACAAGAAATTGTAATTCTAGCCGCGGTTCCAGGTTACAAAAGATATCAATTAAATTATTCAAACACAAATTGAACGGCGTTCATGCAATTAAACCAACAAGAATCTAGCCATCAATCATGATTAACCCCTTCATCAATCCCAAATCCCTAATTAAACTACTCACAATTCATAACTGAAGATTCAACAGAATTGGGATGAATAGAAATAATTGTTATTAATTAAAAAGATGAACTTACAAATAATCCCAAGGTCTTGGAGTAAACAATCTTAAAAACGCAAGTAATTTCGTCCCTAGGCCTCTCCATAATGTTCGTCACGTCAGAATATGGCTATGGGGGTCTTATTTATA